AAATTATATTAAACTATATAACATTAATTATTAGATAAAAAATGAGTTGAGCCCTTTAATATAAAGTCCTTTCCTTTCTACGTATTCCTAAACTATAATTTGATGCATTTTAGATAATAAAATAGGTCCATATTTTTTTATATCAAAATTATAAAATGTTTTTGAAAATTAAAAAAGCTTAATTATAAAAGGTTTTTTTATTTTGTGCCCTTAAAACACATAATAAGAGTGCATTTATTGCACTTTTTTATTATAAATGTATATAAAAAAATATAAAAATTGATATTAATTTTAATATCAAGTAAATTTAATCAAAAGGAAAATGGGTTTTTTTATTTTGTGCATTTATTGCACTTTTTTATTATAAATGTATATAAAAAAATATAAAAATTGATATTAATTTTAATATCAAGTAAATTTAATCAAAAGGTTGATAAATTAAAGATCAATTTTTATTTTTTCAATATAAATTTATGATAAAAAAATATTTAATACATTTCTAATTTATACTTTTTAAATACAAGTTAAACAAATTTTATCATAAAATATATAAGAAAAAAAAAAAGCAACTATGGGCTTCGTTTTGGCAACCACGGGCTTCCTAAATTCCGTTGGAGGTTGTTGACGATCACTTAAGATTTTTTTTCAAAATAAATTGAAAAAATCAAAATTAAATGTGAAAATATAAAAGAAAATGGGAGTCGCCACTTGATCCAAATTATAAGGTGAAACAAGTCACCTAAAAATAGGTTTGCGTAGAGATTGGGGTCCGGGGGTTCGGTTAGGAGTGAGGAAGGGCATACGCGCACCTCACAATCCTCCGTTTAAACACGGTTGCATACTTTAAAATTGGGGTTTTAATTCAACTTATTTATTATATTAATGTTTGAGTCCTAATAGGTAAGCTTGAAAAATACATGGACCAAATTGTGACAACTTTTATACTTTTGGATTAAAATGGACAAAATCAAGACAAGCACGCACAATAACATAAACAAGAAGTTAAGGGACTAACTTGATTAAATTCGAAAGATAAAAGACCAATTTGATTAAATTCAAAACATAGATGACTGATTTGATTAATTTGAAATATGAAAGACTAAATTGCTTAATCATAAAAACCTTGGGTGAAACTGAAATAAAAAAAAA